AGAGGCACGATTTGTCGAAAGAATAGGCCTGTCGACAAGAACGAGGCACGATCTCGTCAACCGAAATCGGCGATTTGCTGTTGCCAAGCACGTTCTCCGTCGCGGATTCAGGATTTTCGGGATTCCCCCGACCGACTTGCGCGTCGAAGCCGTCACGCGCTTGCTTGCACGCACCTGCGTATACATATAACAACGTCACGCACACACCGCGCGTTCGTTTATTTCTTTTGTTCCGCCCCGTAGCCAGGGGTGCTTGCCTGAGTATGCGGGGGTGGTTCCGACAGTCAGAGAGACGTGTCAGATCGCGGCGATAAGCGAGACGAAAGTCAAGGATGTGGAACGCGCTATGATATCGCTGAGTTCGTTACCGAAACAATTTGTCAAACCGAAATCCCGCAAATTGTATCTCTGTGCGCCCTTAGTTCGCCTATGTAAACTTTTCCTCCTTTATATTGTATTTCCTCGCGATGACGACGCGAAAGTATTCTCGAGATTATAAAATATCTTCGAGTCTTTCTTGGAAAATGATATTTTTTTTATTCCATGTAGTGATAATATTTTTGATATATTCTATTTCCGTCACTTCGAAAATAAGTTCCCAGATGACATTTCCAAAGCTTTATTCGACGCGATTATTGTAGTCTGAGAAAATCCAAGAGTTTTGTTTTTGCTCCGCAGATTGTTGTAATTGCGCTCGGTGCTGAAAGCCACGGAAAGTTTCGTGCGCGGTCTCAGGTGTCAAGACTTGTGCGGACTAACTTTCTGAAGACGTAGCCGTAGCTCTTGCCAATTGATTCTCAGCACTTTCTCGACAAATTTTAACGACGAAACTTCCGGGCTTCCTATTATTTTGCTGCGTTTCACCGGTACGATTTTAGGTTTGTTTGGGAAAGATAATAGGCGAGCCTTGTATTCGCCGCCGCGGCAAGAGAGGCCCGCATCGTATAACAATTTACTGGCTAATCGAAAAACTTTGTTAAGACTGAAACTTGGTTAATTAGCATCTTTACCGAACTGCCTGCTTACCTTGCGGACCCGCTCCGTCGGCCGGAAGAGGAAGGAAGAAATTATACAAAGTACAAGCTGCATTATCGATTCGGCGACTAACAATGCCAATTTCGAAGAAAGTTGGGGTCGCCGATAGTGCGCGGCTATACATATTTCCCGAAGAATGGTTCTACGCTCATTAATAAGAATCGTAAATGAATTTTCGAAATATACGACAAATATATTCAATGAGAAATGGGTTGAATAATAAAATTCTTCAATATTTAAGTCAGTTACTTAGATTTTGTGTAAAATATGTGAAATAGGAAAAGGGAAGAGCTGGTGCCTAGGCTCGAATAAATCCACAACGACGTCCCGCAAAGTATCTGTTTTATTTTTTTTTTCAAGGCGTTATAGATATCCAGGGAATAATCTCTGTCTCATATATATATCATTCTAGTAAACATGAACAATAATAAATATAATGTATACAAGAACGTAGGAAGTTTTGCGTCTAATCAGGCTGCTCGGTATAAAATAGCGCATTTATTATATGGCATCCCTAGCAACAGCTCCGTACGGATTTGTTTTCTTTTGATTTTAAAAGACACCGATCGCGCTCGCGCGTGTCTTTCTCACTCCCTCTCTCTCTCTCTCTCTCTCTCTCTCTCTCTCTTTCGCTTTCTCGCTCTCTCATTTTCTCACTTTCTCTCTCTCTCTCTCTCGCTTTCTCGCTCTCTCATTTTCTCTTACGCTCGCACTTTCTCTCTCTTTCTTTCTCTCTCTCTTTATATATTTGAGTACGTACTTACACTCGACCGCACAAATCCTATGTCCTCGACTCGTCGCCGACTCGCCGGACTTCTCGAGTGCGCGAGCGAGATCGTAAAGCGTACATAAATATTCATAGCGCAAAGTTTTCCCGACGAATATCCTATTCACCTCCCCCTCCGCTAGTGTCTGAGAAGTGTTTGAGACATCGTCGGGTCGACATCAAGGAGGACCGACGTCGTCGGCGTCGCATATCGCATGGTTCTACGACTAGCGAGTACACTCTCCTCTTTATTTCCCCGCCCCCCCCCCTCCCATCGCGAATCCTCAGAATATACAAGCCACTATTCCCTGCCACGTCGAATCGTCGAATATCCCGAATTGATCATCGTAAGCGCTTTGACATCTATTACGAAGAAGAAGATAGGAATGTGCCGATGATTATGCTACCGACTCGAGAAATTAGTTGTTACAAATCTTATCTACAATCCTTCGACGATGTAAATACAAATTATAAATATAATCCACATATGTATATCTAAAGTTGACACATATCTAGAAGTTGAATACTTTCATAAAGTAGAAATCGCGCTTTGGTTATTTTTCTCACGCGCACGTGCTTCTATTTTACTATCTCACATTCCTACCTTTTCTCTACCTTTTGCAGCGTACCGCGAAGCCACGATAAAGATGTTCCTCGTGGTAATAAATTAAATACAGAATTCCGCCTGTTCCCAGGCGACAGCGAATCATGCCCGAATTTGAAGGGCGTGAAAGGCGAGAAAAATCTATCGTCGCTACGCTAAAAATCGATCGTTCGTCAGCGATGAGTGACGTAAGTGCAATTAGGCGTAGATCGCAATTACGTCGCTCCTTCGTGAGAGTGTTTATCGCAGACTCACGCTCGCGTTATTGCCAAAATCCGCGAAATGATGATTGCCACAACCACAGAATGCCGCCGAATGCTGTTGCGTAACGAATTGCGCGTGGAGAACTTATTGTTTCGATGGCGCGCAGCGTGACGTATGCAATGTAGGAAAGTGATTTTTATTCCGCGGCATCTACATCTAATAGATATATCCAGTATATCCGTACAGCTATCGACTATATATATATCAGCCTCCTTTGTGACAAGCATTACGGCTACTCGTGAGGTTCGACGAACGCTCCGTATACACGTAGACAGATTGCGCTCTACATTATGAATCGTTCCCATAAAAATGATGTAATTGAGATAATTGAGCTAACTGAGATTTTTAACTGACTCATCATCTCTTTCTGCATTCTAGGGAGAGAAAACGCTTGAATTTCAGTTAACTTGGACTAATATTTATGAGAATCGCCGTACGCGTGAGATAGAAAGCAGAATTATATCCAATTGTTTTTCAAATACTTTATCCGCGCAACACATTCGATTCAAAAAATGTCATTCGATACCAGATTCGTCTACTCTTCCGTTCCAACGATCATGGCATTTTGCGCCATGGCATTTCGACTTTCAAATCGCTTCTAGTTCGCTTATTTTACATTTACTCTCGCCCCCGCGCTATGTACACCTCTACATGTATGAGTGAAAATTCATACTTCGCATTTCGTTCGTCCGGCCCAATCGTTTCGTTCGCTTTCGGGCGGGTACAATATTCCATCTCGACGTTCCTTTAACGCAATCTTGAACATATTTAGAAGATGTAAAGACCTCCGCAAGACGTCTGATACCTCTAACGAAATATTCTATCAAAGATGAGGAATTTACAGAGTGTAGAGCTTAGCATTAATAGAGAGAGAATGGCGCTAATAAAAAGTTGTATTTAACACGTATATATGCAACGATCTAGGTGATTACAGATAAGTAGACCACGTATCATTATCTTACGCAGGCGATTAGATGTATAAACTTTCATAGATACGAATTGAAGAAGCGCAGCGCAATCGTTATAGCCGACTAAATTATTATTGCGAAAGGAAAGTAGTAATTATTAAGTCTGACATTTCTTATAATTGTCAAATCGTTTATTTCGGCAGTGAAAAAGATTTGACTTGGCACCTATTGCCAGCTTCGTTGCGAGAACAATGGTTGCCTGCCAGGCGAATCTCTCTGCGCGCACAAATCCTTACAAATCTCCGAGTTCATCGATGAGCTTGAAATCGTAAATCTACGTATGAGTAATCACGAGTTGAATGAGAATCGAAGAAAATAGTTGCGAGATATACCTAACCACAGCTAACGAACAGTAGTACGTTACATATTAATGAAGATACGAATACGATTCTTAAAAGCGCTAAATTTTCCGCCTTTTTAGTTTTTATCTTTTATACATATGTTTTAAACGTGTAGAAGATGAATATATTGCTGAGATTGAGATGAAATATGGAATGATGTGAAATGAAATGTGGCTCTTGGAAGTATCAAGAAAAGCGCATCAGGGATCGGATGAAAATATGAATTCACCAAAATTATACCGGTGTCAATCCCTGGGCCGAGCCGGTCGCGCTTAACGCGGAGCGCCAGACGCGAGTGCATACGTTCACAATTACCTATGCTAATTAATTAATGTTTAACGGCGCATCCGCTCCCGATAACGCGCCGTCGACCATGCGGAATCGAATTTCCAGTCTCCAGTTAGCCATTACACGGATGGAGAACGATCAAAGAAAAGTTAACGTTCGCTCGAATGTAAAAACATTTATTTGTCTCGAGTGATGCCGCCCTCTTTTCGCCGAGCTGCATGTTGTGCGCGTATTATATCCCTATACATTCATCTCGCTTCACGAGCTCTCGTTAGCGCAGGTACGCGGTTAATTCCGGGGAATATCATTTTCGGAATTAATAACTTTCCGGGACTAGATCGACTCGCGGGAGTTCGTATATTAAAAAGTATGGAAGTTCGTGCTCTCCGAAATATTAACTCCCGGTTTTAATATTCCTGCTTGCGCGAAAATCAGGAACAGTTGCATTTCGCGTGTAACGATCCGCGAAATGCACCCAAGTACGGTCTTAAAAGCGCACGAATTCGCGCTCGCGGCCGGAACGAAGGTAATATCGACAACTGTACACAGATCTTTTTTTTCTTTTTATTTTCATCGACCACACAAAGGACTGCGGATACGCTACCACCGGAATCAGTTTGCAGCAATTCGCATTTATGCATAGAATTAAACCGCTATTGTTGAAGCCGTATTGTGTAATCCGCGTTTCCAGAATATATATGGTCGGCCTTATTACACATAAAATAACAACGTTGTAACAAAAAAATCATGCTTTATTGTCAGCGTTCGGCGAATAATAACAAAAAATGTACAGAAATAATAAGTCCATAAATTATAGTGTCATGACATAGTTTCAGAATGCCGTTCTAGGCGATGCTATTTGCACCGAAACCTCTATCCAAGGGAATATAAATACACTTCAGCGAAATTACACTGTTGCAGGACCAGGACCTTTGTAGTGTTAACCGACGACGCGTCAAAACGCATTTGCTATGCAAATTTGATTGGCGTAAAGCAAACGAAACTCTCACGTTTATAGGATTGACGTGCATGCGATAAATACATTCTATTATGTAATTACATACAACACCACATCCATATAAAATTAGTGAATGTGAGCTTGAAAAATGACTCTATTAATAATAGCTATAACGTTAATCCTGTTCAAATTATCCGCAACGCAAAATTTTAAATAAGAAATTCATCTAACAGTAAATCGTATTAAACAACAATTACTATTATAATCATCAAATGTACAAAAATCACAATAATAAATCATCACTATCTCTTTGGTATTAACGGAAGAAACTGATTCGCGGTGGTCCGTGTAATTTCTATACGTATGTATATATGTACACATATTCTAAAAATCGTATATAATATCGACAGTACAATCTGATCTGCCGCTATCGATACCAACGGGCACATGGCTAAATTCCATGTCTTTGTGAAAAAACGCAGTCACGAGACACTGCCGTTAATATTCCGACGATAATCCGTAACGAGCAAAAGCACTCTTTGTGCTTGTTTTTGCTTGGTCCGAGAAACAATCATTTTTTGTGCGATTCGCGTTTCACATTTCTCCAAGACCTATCGCGACGCCGAAAGAAATCAGTATCGATCTCACAATCAGTAGCTCAGCGTGTTTCGTCTTCCGGACAGAAGATTACTATAATTGAGCGTATATGAAAGAAAAAGATTGAGACGAAAGGTAAATCACCGTCCACAAACATACGCTAGTATTTGTAACATTCAGGTGACAGCGACTTACGTTATTAATACAATTTTTATTTCTAATTAATATCTTGATCTTGTATATTAATATTGGCCGGCGGTTTACCTCGTAGGACAGCTATTGAAAGTGTGCGTTTGTCAGCGTACAAGTATTATATTAAAAAATGAAAAAAGAAGTTATCCTGTTATTGTTTTCCTATCTTGCTTCTCTCCTCTTCGTATAAAGTATTTTCCGGAAGACAAACAGCGAGATCGAATAAAGGCAGCGCACGATGGACTCGCGCGTTGGCACTATTTTGAATTGCGCGTTTTGCTGTCGCGCGAATTCACAGATGAACAAACCGATTGAATTTGTTCGCTGCCACGGAAAAATTATCGCACGATCACCAATGACAAAGACACCTTCTACAATATTGCTACGTATCTGATTTTTCTTCTTCTTCCTCTCCTTTCCTATACGATACATCGTTAAATGGTACCTGTCGACACATCGATAGAACATGCTCCCTACCGACACTACTTACTAAACATAGCTGCTACATGTGTACATCAAATGCGTAGAATATTTAGTTACCTCTCGCGAAGAAGGAAATTCCGCCGTCGGTGTCCATGGCTGTAGATATCTTAATCGTTAATATATAATGAATTATGTTGTAAATGTGATAAATACAAAGTGCGTATAACTATAGAGGTGATGGTGGTGTATCGTTTTGGCAGTTTGTTGTTTTCCCATCCCTCTTCGACGATCCTCGATCGTTTTTAAGCTCTGTTGATTCTCTGTTGGTTTTTTTTTTTTTTTTATCATATAGCATTTTTGTTTTGCGCATACACGTAAGTGTGTATATGTGTGCACATGTATATTTACGCTTCTTTGGTTCAAACGAGAGAAGCGAACGTACGAAGAGGGTCTAAGTCTATATAAAGTTTCGTTTCGCTGTAGCTTCTTTTCGTTATGTGTCGTCAATTGCACGAGACAGATACATCGTTAACGGGTAGCATCGTAACGATATCTACCGCAACTTCTTAGGCCCGCATGTCGTAAAAACGGAGCAATGTTCACGTTATGTAAAATGTTATTATCGGTGCCATGATGTCGGACTCGATATTGAACCAACGATCTTGGTTAACTAGTTTCAACTATCGATTCTCTATCTCTAGATCATATTTCTAGTTATATTCATAGATAGAGAAGAAAAGGTCAATTAACCACGTTTTTTACTAACTAGAGGTGGTGTGTGGCCGACACTCTGAATCGCTATTAGTCGCGGCACGTCTGCGTTTTTTCGTATTTGCATCCCATTTATTTCTTGCTTCTCAACGGCTTCTCGTATAGCACTCGAGTATCAAATAGAGTTCGATAGACGTTCCATGCTATTATTTGCATATACATATTTCCTGTTCGCGAAGTTTGCCGAGTAAATATATTAAAATTCTCCTCTTTCGGATTCTCTATTTTTTCTTCTATGTTACGCTAAAAAACGCGAAATATAAAACGAGACAAAAATCCTCAGTCTTGAAGAATGAAATATTTGAAAAAACGGTGATAACTCGAAATCGGAACTTGGGATACTGGAAATCACAAAGAGATCAGGGGAATTAATACGGAACGGATTCGTTGGTCGCCGCGTTAACGTTTACGAGGGATCGATATTGAGCATTTGTGCGCTCATTAGCGCGTCTCACTTTTTCCTTCGCATCTTTCCTTTCTCGTGGTCCATTAGCAAGTGTCGGCGTGTTTCATGCCGTGTGCTGAGATAAATAAAACGATCGACGTTGGATCGAAAATCGGCTACGAACCGTCGAGCCCAGCCGCGACAGATTAAAGCTGCACATTGAAAATTGCACATCCAACGTTATTACAATAATTTCACGCCTCGCTAGATAATATCGCGATGTTTACATTCACGCCTGTTACCGTTAATGACATAATAATACTGCTTACGATTAACGACGCGTCGTAAGGAAGAAAGACCTTCTCGTTCGCCGGAAATGCGCACAGCGAACAATTGATTAGTTGCCTCAATAAATCACCTTGGCCTCGCGCGGTTCAAGATCACAGTGTCACCGTTGTAAAATCAGTCAAGTGTCAACCTGAAAGTGCAGGGTTTGACGAGGAACGACGGCTACTTACCTCTGTCGTTCTCGAGGCCATGTCTGTTAAATTCCGTAATAGTTGAGTACCTCGCCTTCCGGCAACAAATATGTGCATGTGCGCTCTACCGTATATATGTGCGCCACTGAAGAAATGATTACAAATCCAGCCGGATAAAAAGAAGTAAGAGACGTTCTTTCTTGCGCGTCGAGGAACCATTAGTTGCTAATCCCGATTAATATCACTAATCAATGGAGAGAATATCATCCGCATTTTACGATTGTAATCGTTGCGATTTCGTAAATCGCAAGAATTTCTTGCTTTTATACATATTATATATAAATATATATATTATATATGATATATATATATATATTATATATACATATGTGTTTATATAATATATAATATTTCGCTTAACTATTTGCGCAAAATTGGCGAATAATAGCAAGTGAAATATTACCGTCTCACATACATCGTAAATATTAAGTAGCCGCTTCTAAAAATCGAAGGACCGAAAAATTATCACGACAGTAATTTCTGCATTGTTTGCGATCATGTTTCGAGCACTAAAAGTAGTAGATTTCTGTGCTGTTGCGAAGGCGACGCATCTTCGTCAGATCGAATGTTACACGATTATTATCGCGATCTCGTGCATTCCATTTCGAAACACAGCTTACAGCTCCTCGGACAGCGCAATCGGCGCTCTGGAACCGGGCTTCATGTCCTTCACCCCGATACCGATGTCGTCGACCGGCGCCGGTGCTAACTTCAATTGATTACCGTTTACCTTGATGTCGTTGACGGAATGAGAACGCCCGTGGGTGACCAAGGGCTTAGTGGTCTGATTAGTGGTGCTGTTCGAGTTAGAGCTGGTGATCGAGTTCGTGCTGGGGCTCGTGGCGGAATTCGAACTGGGATTGCAGTTCGTGGTGGTCGCCGAGCTGGAACTGGAGTTCGAGTTACTGTCCTGCGTCGGATTCAGATTAACGGTATGGAGATTCGGATTGGGTATGGACTTCGATCGCGATTTCATCTTGGGATTCGCGGACGACGTAGAATTGAGAGTTGAGGTATGATCTGTGTCTCGGCTGGTGGAATCGGACGCGGAATCGGGAGACACGGACATTTTGGCGGGCGTCGTCGGTTTCGACGATCCGGCGAGCGTTGTTAGTTGATTGGCGGATTGGGATCGGATCGCGTGACCACCGAACTTGTCCCTCAATGCAATCTGATAAGCTACCTCGAAAGCCTGACCCAAAGTCAAGATGATCTCTGTCGCTTGATCCTGCAACGGAACGATGGCGCTTCGTATGTCTCAGCAGAAAATCAAATTGCGAGAAATAATACAATAATATAATGAGAGAAAACAGACGATTTTCCCTCAATTCTGTAAAATAGATATTTACCATTGTTGGCACACAAAACACGTGACAGAAATGCGTGCGGCTTGAGTGATCCTTTGTGATGTACGCGAAGTGAGTGAGATCGTCGGCGTCCTGGCAGGCGCAATGGATATTGCGAATCTCGTGTTCGCAAATTGGCTCCTATCGTATTAGGTGGTTGTAATAAAAATACATTTCTATGTTTTCTATAAGAAAAAAGAGCCTTACGTTGGTCAACGTGTTGAGAAAGCGAACACCACGATAAGAGATTGCCAGTGTAATGTCAGGGGTGACTCTGGGTTCTCGAAAGGTCTTCTTCAGCTTTTGTATCGACTTTTTCGTCGACTCAGTGCCGCGTAATTCCTTGACGACGGTAGAGCCCAGATACTACATTATTTAAAAACAAGAAAAAAACTTTTTTTCCAAGAACCAACGAGAAAAAATTTATGCGAAGCTTTTAAATCGCAGGACAAGCACAAGTTTTGTAACTATTGTTCGATAAACAATTTTGAAAACAAGACTCTTTTAGATTTAAATATTCCGAATTTAACGGATTCATAGAGACAGGACAATTTTCCGCGCAAAGCTTATTGCTGTACTCCACGAATTAACTGTAATTACAGTATCGGCCTTGAAGCGTTTTAACAGATGGCGTAATTTGCTCATCATAAGTAATTGACAGAATAATACGCTTCCGTCTTTCTTGATCAACTGTCATAATATGCTAACAACAATTAAAGTATTTTTAATGTAAAACACCGTGCATGCACAATTCATACATTAAACAATTATATCGAAAGATAGAAAAAGATTCACGTATTTCTGGTACAAAAATTGCGGAGAAAAATGTGCGTCTCAAGATGGTAAAATTTTAATAATTGAATAATTTAGCATCGGAATTGATTCTTCTCACAACTTGTTATATTTAAAGAATAAATAGTTTCGTTGAAGATATATAAGGTGACAGAAAGACAGACAGACTTACATTTGCGACGTACGTGACGCCGCTGGTGACCAAAGTCTTCGGCTGGTGTCTCCATTGCGTCTTAAGAGTGGACGGCACTCCGAAAAGAAGCTCGGATGGTGCCCTGATCTCGAGCTGTTCCGGTGCTGAGATCGCTCCATTGTGCGAACTAGGTCGCTGGGGTGGCTGGGGCGCCGGTCTGTTTTTGCGGTGCCTTAATGTGCCCGTGGTCGTCGAATTCGTTCCGCTGGTTATCGACGTACTACCATTACCATCCGCCGTTGCTTCCGGCAATTTCTCCCGTATCTCCTCCTTCAATTGCTGTATGTTCGTCTTCTACGGAAATAACAGCGCGACCAAATTTGAGAGCCGCCCTCGCAACACCCGGCAGATAATTCGGCCGGCAATCCCGAGTTTGCCGGAAACTAATATACAGTTTATTCGCGAATTACACATAACAATTAAATAAAACAATTTTTCGAAATATTCTTCAAAAGTGCAGATGCATTGGTCTTGAAAAATCTTTCCGTTATATTGCGGAAAATATCTAGTTTGTTCGAATTTACCTTTTACTTTCCTACAATCATCGCAGAAAATTGCATACCAAAAGCAAAGTTGTTTTTACACTCTCTCTTACAGATAAATTCCAATTTCCGAGCAATTCCAAACAGAGACTGCCATGTGTGCCCCGAGGTTGCAATTTCTCTGGCAGATATTTTTTTATAGCTTTATCATGACAAGAATCTGCCGGACCAACCGGTTTTAACGAAATGCCGGCATGTGTGCAATGTGAAAAAAAAAAAATATTGCGCCACCCAAACCTTTATACAGCATATTACCAAGTCGAATTCGTCCCGAGTTTACTTTGTGCGACGTGCAATTACCCTCGTAAACGCATTGCGTTGCAAACCGCGGCCACGCTACAGTGAAAAGAAACCTTTTACCGGCTATGCCAAAACGGCGCATCATGTAGCATCGATAGTCACGATATTTCAGGTATTGCAAACAAATTGGATTCGTGCTGGGCGCGACACACGAATTCGGATTACAACCCGAATCGCTCGCTCCATCTGGCTTCTGCATATAATTCCGGGTATCGGCATCGCGCGACAAATTGCAGAAGACTCGGACGAAAGAGAGGCGAAATGAAAGCGCGGGAGCGAGAGAGAGAGAGAAAGAGCGCGTAAAATTCGAACGTTGGAGAGCGTATGGGACTAGAACGAAAATTCGCGGGCGTTACCGACGAGAGTGTCGGAGTCAAACTATGGTTCGTCGGGTTCGATAGCTGCGAAAAATCAAGGGAGGAAAAGCCCGGCTGAAAGAGCAGAAGAGACCAATTTGTCGGGATTATCGAGCGCGGGGATGACGCGAGCCGAATGAATCCAGTCGCCGGCGACATTTACGGGATTTAATGAGCTAATTAAGATGACACGAACGGGGAGACGCGAGCGAGCGGCGAAATGTCCTTATTGACGCCTGACACGGTGAAGGCATCCGAACAAAAAGCATCGAGAGGCGCTCGAACGATCATCGCTGAGAGAGAGCACGTATGTACACGTTCATCACAATAGCGAGCCTCCAATTAGCCACGATATTTAGATTATGACGCGATCGGGCGAAACGCGTCCGGAGCGATCGAGCTTGCCGCATCACCGTTGCGCCCTCGGCGCGTCCCACCCTTGCCGGCCAAGTGTACACTCTTGTCAGACACCCCTGTCGATCGCATTATACTCGTTCATCGATCCTTCCAATGTATCGATTCGCAAGTTTCCCGACAAAAAGATTACACATTATTCACGTCACTTAATTAATAAGCGCGCTAAGCTGTACTTTCGTGCATTATTAATTCGTTTCTATGAATATTTATAACAGAGAAAGCGCAAAGAATCCAAAGAGTTCAGAAATTGTTTCAAAGTTCGTTTACACCAAACGATAAAATTTTACAGCGCACTCGTTAGATGCAGATGAATATGTTTACTTACCAATGTGTTGAGGTCCTTGTTTAAATCTTCCAAGTTCGGCCCCGTGCCGTTTCGAGTTTGCGCGCGCGTGCTATTCGGGCCGCTTACGGATGCCAGAATGCGTTTGCGATGCGCCGGCTTCTGGATTTCCAAGACTGCTGCCAGCTCGACCTCCCAGACCCGTTTGACCCGATCCATGTCGGTGTACAGATGCTTCCTGAACGTCTCCGCATAATTTTCCAGGTGAATGCTCTTCAGCCACTCCTCCACCGATTGGCCGTGACCGGCGTTACGCTTTTCCACACGTTTGTTCAGCAGTCCGACCGCGTCCATGATCATCGTTCGTTCCTGGTCGCTGCTGATATCCATCTCGCGCAAATCCGACTCGTCCAACACTCCGTTCTGCAAGCGCACAATTAAACGATTTTCCGCATGTCGCCCGAACGCGATCGCAGCGAGCGAAACGCACGGCTGTTACTCACTATAAACTCGAGATCGTCGAAGCCGTAGTTGATAAAGAGAGACTCGTAATCAGCCAAACCCAAACTGGACAGCCACTGACCGACGGTTGTGGAAACGACGGGACTGCTAGTGTCTGAACTTAAACCTGAGATATAAAAATTGTAGGAATATATGCGAGAAATAAAGTGACGAATTATTATCATGTGCGAGTAACGCCGGTAAAATCCACAAGTGGATATCTCTGTACGTTACGCGAACTAAAAATCGAGAAATCGCTCAAGATCAATGTCACTGCCGGCGCGGAATCGAAAACACCGCGTGCGCACGCGGCGATAAGATTACCTAGCCTGGTTTGGAATTCTTTCTCGAGCTCGCTGACGAACACCGACTCTCGCACGAGGCCGGTACCGAACGACGCCATGATCTCCGAGATTTTCGCCCACTCCTCCTGCTCGTCGAAGGGACTCATTATGCTGAGAGACTTCTCGTCCCTGTCGCGATCCCGGTCGCCGGAAAGCCGAATGGCGACCTCGCCGTCCTCGAGACGTTCTCCGCCCCCGCTGTCGCAGCCGGTTCCCATCCCGCATACGATTTGACCGTAGACGTTCCGCAAGCGGCGCAAAGTACGCGGCCGTTCAGCCGTGACGGAACCCTTTAACAAACCTATCGGCACGCCGACACATTACTATCTTCGCTCTTCTTTCCACGCTCTGATATCGTACACTCACATATGCAATTTCACAGTGCTCTTAAATGCTTTTGTGCTCGGAATTATTTACAAAAAATAAGCGTAAGATTTATTTTCATAAAATTTGCTTAATTTCTATAATTGCGTAAAATATGCGAACACTATATCGTTCTCTTATATCTATTGTAATAAATATTAAGAAAAAAATTAGTTTTGTTACTTATTAGAGAATTTAAAATATTGTAGGAACGTGTATGAATTGTGTGTAAACGTCACTATTTATTTCTGCGGTTTCTACGAAAACTGAGTAGCTGCTCTTTCTTCTGCAATTTTGACAGCTTTTGCACGTTAATTTGTTAAGTATCATCATCTATTGAATCTTCATAATGCATATGCAACACAAACCGGTGGATTTATAGATACGTTGAATATTCATTGTAGAGTCGTCATTATTTGATGCCTCGATGAGATTCAGTGTCTGGAAAGCAATCAAGATTGTCTTGTGATACCACGATCGTCAAGTAATTATGTCGATGCCTTTAGCGATAAGCTTTATGGTTTTGAATTTGGGATTCAATAGTATTGAACGAGCTGTCTTTCATATGATAAAATTTCGTTAAATAAATAGTATCATTTGTAAAGTTGCTAAGCATTAAAAGAACTAAAAATTCAGCTGAATGAATGAAATATATTATAGTTTCTGCTAAGCCGACGTTACAGAAAGAATCTTTTGAATTGCGCGAAAAATATTTACGACGTTGCGCAGTGAAAAGATATTCAACGTACAATCTCGTGACTCTTCTCGTAATTTCTCTTCAAACGCTCAGACACTGCATTCCTCCGCGTCACATAGTTGCGAGTAATTTCCCAATTTTCCCCTTTTCTCGTTTCTTTCTACGGCCCTTCGCTCATTTATCGCGGCTCCACGCATCCCGCGTGAAAGAGGTGCTTGTTAAGGGCTCGCGTTTGCGGTCCCTTCAAGGACGATCCGTTATTCGCGACAATCCGCGAGTGCGCGATAGAGATTCCTTCATACGAATTCCGCAAATGAGGATCCGCCGGCGGAGCACGGCGGAAAGCAAGAAAAAGAACCTATTTAAGTAGCCGTCGCGAATGCTCTTTCAAAGATGTCCTCTGCTCTTCGCGAGAATGCGAATACGTTATGTCGGGAGTGGCATACAAGCGCACTCAGACACACCATAATGAAAAGCTCATAAAAATATTAAATAGAAGCCAGGAGAAGGCGAGAGAGTAACGTGTACACGTTACGAGAGGCAAACGTACGTAATTTTAATTAAAGCTCCATCGCGGAGGGCGTCGTCTGCTTACCGCCGCTGCTCTCCACAGTCAACGTTATATTATGTAGGTAGTTATTTAAGTCATATACACAAATTATTACATAAATTCCCGTCTTTCCCAACTCTCGTTGCTCATCCTTTTTAGCGACCACCTAAGGCACTGATTCTCGTTCGGCTTTAAAAACAAGTGTAACAAATATCTCTGAAACAGTTTGAAATAACAAGAAATTTTTTCGATTTTTTATTTATATTTTATACAAAAGTCTAAAAGTGTGCAAAAAACACTTGAAAAATTAAGTTTTTTTATTTCTATTTTAAATATGCCTACTTAACGTCACATTGCATCCATGAAAATTAAGAATGAAATAATTGTAATAATTAAGCATAATTACTATGATTGCGTAATGAATGATTATAAGCTCAATAATATCACGTAGGCGACTGGCGGCAGAAAAAGTCAGTCCTTTCGTTTTGTATCTCGCAACATTTTAATGCACACACGACTCTTGCGCCTTAATCGCGATCATTAATCTCGCCCCTCTAATAGAGAATTGCGTAATTTCCGCTCGTCTTAATTCTCTTTTTCGCCACCAAGATTTCCGCGCGCTCCATTAAAGCGAGAGGAAAATCTGCGGACGATCCGGCGATTCTCATAGACCATAAACATTAAAGTAATCCTTGCGTAAATAAGTGCGTGTGCCACGCTAGTTTCAGGGCTTCGCCGAGGAAAGAAGTAGAGGCCGGATTTCAGTGGATATTAAAAATGTATGGTCGTTAAGCGGCTCGTAAATGATGCGCCGTTACATTTTTCAAATCTGTGTTCTTAGCCGCACGCTACTAGATATCGACCGGAGGAGTTATTAAAATCCGCAATAAACCCGTTCGGTCTTGCACCGCAGATCACCGGCTGGAGGATTGTAATAGCCAAAGTTCCGCCCAGAATACCGACAGGTTACATGAACAGAGTGTATCCGCCAAGACATTAATCTCGCACAAACTGATCTTAATTTTATAGCAATTTATCAGGAAATGATACACTTCTAAAATTCTGACGTCTTAATGGCGTTTCTGTTAATTAAAACTAATTTTCATTTTTTAATAAATTTATAATGATTGTAATGTAGAATTTAATATCATATTTTTATATTATTTTTTGTTGGTATTTTTGTATCGTATTTTTAAGTACTATTTTCATCAATACTTTTGATACAAACTGTATTCTGTATTTACGTCAGACTTCTAAGCTTCAGATTTCTCAACGTTGCTGGATTACAAACGAAATTTTGTACGGATCGTAGACCCCGCGCGATCGTCCATAAATTACTTCGGCCCTCATCCAATTCTCGGCAGTATTATCTGCCAGCAGCTCATTTATCTTATTAAGTAACAAAGACGCCCTAATATTAGTATTATCCTCCTGACTATGAAACTACAAAGATGCCGAGAAACGATTAATGCGTTAATATGCACTATTGCCCTGCACTACGGAATATTACCATTTAGTCGAGTTAAGTTCACGTATGATCAATTAAACTCAATTGGTCGTAGGTGCGATGAATTCTTGGATGAATTATAGTTACCATGAAATCATTAGAGAGAGAGAGAGAGAGAGAGAGAGAGAGAGAGAGAGAGAGAGAGAGAAGA